GTGTCTTACCCTCTCTGAGCTGGCTTCTCAGCTGTAAATAGGATCGTGGGATCATCATGAAGTTTAAGTGAGATAAGGCTCCATGAGCACTTAGTACCTGCCCAGGAAATTTTGTTTCCCTTCTTTGGGTTTCTTGAGTCTTGTGGGGAGGTGGAAACTGAAAAATTCAGGGTAAACAGTGTCCTTCTGCCAGGACGGGACTGAGCCCTGCCCACTATGCTACTCCCAGCCCCGCCCTTCCCCACCCCGACAGTCTGCCCTGAGTGATGGACCCGCCCAAGCCAGCCTGTGTCTCCCCCAGTGTCCTGGGCCCCCTGGATGTGCAAGGCCTAGGATGCCTCCCAAGCCCCCTCCCCACCCCAGCAGTCAGCTCCCCATCTTGTACAGCAGAGGGCTCAGAGCAGGCCCGTCTGAGAGGACACGGTGAGGACATCCTGGCGGGCAGGTGGGGCCTGGGAGCTGGGAAGCCCCACTGTCCTCCAGCCCTGACCCTCTGTCATGTACCCACAGGCTACGAGGCCCTAGCAGAGGCCTCATGCCCCACAGCAGTGCCACCACAGTCGTCTGAAGATGTGGTGTCCAGTTGCCCCGAGGACTGTGGCTTCTTCCCCAATGGGGCCTTTGACCACTGCCTGGGCCACATTCCCTCCATCTACACGGATACCTGAAGGAGGCCCCACCTACACCCACACCTGCCTGCCCTGCGCCACAGAGCTGCCCCACCCACTCGCCATCTGCTCCGCTCACACGCCCTACGTCGGGAGCAGCCAGGCCACTGGAGCAGCCAGGCCACCAGCGCAGCGCGTTGCTGCAGTGGCACTCAGCACTGCCCAGGGAGCCATCACCCCAGCCGGAGCTGGCGCTCAGAGCTGTCCACCAGGACCCGTGGCCCTGTGACAGTTCTCGAGTGTGTCTTCCCGTTTCTCTCCCCAGTGGTTTTGAAATCACAGACCTCGTGTATATAAAATGTACAGAACTTGTTTTCCATCCCTTGCCAGTTTTATATTTTTGGTTTTACAAGAAAAATTAAAAACTGGAAATGAGATGTGGGGCCTGCTTCTGTTTTGTGACTCAGCTGCCATCAGGAGAGCCTTAGAGGAGGGTAACAAGGAGCTGGGTGTAACAAGGAGCTGAGTGTGTGTTCAGGGCCCAGGAGGGAAACCGGCTTGGGTCCGTGGTTCCAGCCATGGGGAAGGGGACTGTCCCATCACATGGGCCCACATGGGCTGCAGTCCTTACAGACTCCAGCAGTATTCTCGGGACAGCACCACAAGGTAGGCTCATCCCCACTGGTAGGTGAGCAGACCGAGGCCTAAATCAGACCCAGATCACCTGACCCAGACCTCTGCCTGCTGCACTGGCTCCTCATTTGGGGCAAAAATGAGCTTCCAATCTGGTGCCTGGGCTTTGTGTCAACAGCAAACTCCATGAGTGGGGCAGGCAGGCCTTGCAGGGACAGAGGCAAGACAAGGGGCAAAGGCAGGTGCTATAGACCAATTAGACCAGTGGGGGCAGGCGGCGTCCTTTCTCTAGGGAGCCCCATACTCACCCTTGGGGGCTGCTGGGGGGCCGAGGCTCGATGGATCAGTCTTCCTCCCCTGCTGGTCTTCCCAGCATCCAGCAAAAGGAACAGGCCCACAGTCCAGGCCTGAATCTTGGGGGCCCACCCTGAAGTTCACCTGAGAAAGAGATGAAGGAAAATTCCTGCCTTGTCCCTGCTGAAGGGAAACCATTGAGGGAGGTCACCGTGCCCTCCCTCATCCTCCCCCATGCTCCTGGGGACAGCCCTAGGGAGGGCTGCTTATCCTCTGAGGGGGGTTGACATTCACACTCAGGTTCAAGGGGTGCCTTTTTGAACTTCAGGCCAAGGTCAGCAAAGATCTAGGCAGCCTCCTTCTTCAGAGAGCAGGAAACAGGCCAGGCAGTGACAGAACCTGTGATGTGCACCTGGTCCCTCCCCCATCATCTAGGGTTGCCTCAATCACACCTGACCACAGGAGTAGCTGTTGTGTGCCCCCCCATCCGGTGGGTTCTTCTGTGAATCAGCTCACTGGCTGCTTCCAGGAGCCCCTGAGGAGGGTCCTATGTATCACCCAGATGTACACCCCACCCAGGGCCAACCCCTGAGCAGCCCCTGAGTGTGACCTCTGGAGACAGCACTTGCAGCCTGCTGCTCTCTGGCTTCAGCCAGCAAGGAACCCGGCCTGGGAGGCAAGGTGGTAGAGAGGGTCCCTGTGTCCTCCAGTGGAGGTCTCAGCTCTATTCAAGCCCACTCTGCAGGTGGGGGAGCAGCTTCCTGCCCCCCCTCAGGTGTGTAGTGGGTTGGGGGCACCTGTCCACCTGCTGTGCACAGCCCCTTCTTCACACTCTTCTCAACTGGCCCAATCTGGCAGGGGCTGTCTTCCCTGCCAGGACAGGACACAGGGACTGAGGGTGGCAAGGTTGAGTGACTTGTCCCTGTAATGTAGCCAGCAAGGGGTCACGGTGGACTTCCAAGCTGAGCGTCGGGCTGCAGAGCCACACTCTCACCCACTGTACCATCCTATCCCCTGAGGACTTGGGACTGACACAATGTCGCACAGCATGTCAGGGACCCTGGCTCCCACCCAAGGCCCTCTCAAGCCCCCGTCCCTGCCCTCATTGATTTTATGGAACTAATTAGGCTGTGGCAGAATTCCTCGAACAGGGATGCTCAGGAATGAATACTGCATGTCATTGTAAATACTTAATCCACTCCAGATAAGCAGAGTTAAGTTGTACAATGAGGACATATTTCTATTAATAATGAAAAGGGCTGAGCCCGAGTAGGGGAACACACAGGGAGCTGGCAGTTGGATCTCATTTAATTTCAGAGAGCAGAGAGAGGAGAACAGCAGACAAAGGCGCAGGGAAACAAAGAGGCCGAGGCAGAGACAGACTGCGAAGTAGGAGGGGCAGGTGCCCAGAGCTGTGCCCAGAGCTGCGCCCAGCGGGGCTCCGTGGAGAGTCCCAGCTGCCACAGCCCAAGATGTAACTGGGACTCACTGGAGACCCCGTCCTGATGCCTACAGGGCCTCCCTCCTAATCCAAGGGGAGCATAGCACAGAAGGGTCCCCCTGGAAGGACCGAGGGTCCCTGGGCATGAGCTCTCTTAACAGGGCTCTCCTTCCTCCCTTAGAAAACAGCAGGGCCGCAGCCCTTCTGGCATCTGACCCTGCACGAAGGAACATGCACCAATCCCCAGTCGGCAGGGACGTGTGGCCATCACTGGGGGAGGTGGGGGGAGTTAGCGGTGTTATGTTCAGAGGCTGGTACGTCTCACTTAACCTGGAGAGCCCTAGGGGACGGGCCACAGGCTGAGGGACCCAGTGGGGTCTAGAGAGTAATGGGAACTGAATCTGCCCAGGGACCCCAAGGGCATGCAGAGCACAGGGCCAGTGCCCAGGCCTGCCAGGTGACCATGCTGCCCTGCCAGCCCAGCCACTCCAGACTCCCTGCCCCCAAGTCCTGGCCTCTGTTCATTCCAAGCCAAGACTGGCCCAGCCCCTTCCCCACCACCTCCCAGTCTCTCTCTGGGAGTCTCTGTCTCCCCTCCCTCCCCTCCGTCCCTGTCCTTTCCCTCCCTCCATTCCCCTCTGTCCTCACTGCCTTCCTTTCTGCTCCCCCTCATCCCTCCCCGCTCCTTCCCCTCCCCCCCATAGCCCTCTCTCTCACCATTTCTCTGCCCTTGCCCCTTTGTCCTTCCTCCTCCCTCCTAATTCTTACCTCCCTCCCTCTCTCCACCCCACACAGTCCATTCCCCTTCTCTCTCTCCCCCCCCCCTTCTGTCCCCATTTGCGCTCTCCTGCCTCAGCAGTGTCTATACACTTCGCTGCCAGGTGTGATCCTCACCCTCCTTTCTTTGCTCTCTCCCTCCTACTCCCCCTAATTCCCTGTGGCCTAGAGAGGGACCGTGACCTGCCCAAGGCAACATAGAGCATTGGTGGCTGGGGCAGGGAGGTCCTGGTGGGAAAGGCTTTTGTGGCAGGTCCCCCCTCACTCAGCCCTTTCCTTAGCCCAGATCCCCGCCTGCCAGGGTCCCAGGTAAAGGTTGGACATTAGGTCTGGTCTTCTGTGTTGTCCTGCAGGGCCAGACCGAGGGTCCCCTCCATGCTGGGCACAGGGACATCCCATAATTGGTCCTTTGGTCCTGCCCTCTGGGTCACTCCCCTTGCTGCTGCTGCCCTTGGGGACCTCCATGAGTTATCACAGACCCAGATCACCAAAGCTGAGAGGGCCCACCTGGACCCAGAAGTCCAGGCTTCAAGACTCCATTTCTGTAACCCCAACCCACACCTGCAAGCCAACAGTGGGGTAGGGGATGCCAAGCATGGGATGCTCAGGGTTGTGACATGGCAGCTTTGTGCCTCAGAAGGCCCCTGCCCCTCTGCTGCAGTGGGTCTGGCCCAGGGAAGTCCCCCCTAGAATGTCAGCCCCAATCTGTCCTGTTCACTGCTGACCATGCAGCTCCTAGAGCAGTGCCTGACACATAGCAGGTGCTCAATACCTGCTTGTTCCATCACAGAGCAGGAGAGACGGGCAAGGGAACAGGACCTTCCTCTGTGGAATCTGGCACAGAGAAGGGACACAGGAGTGTCGTGAGGCTTGGTCGGGCCGTGTAATAAGGACACAGGCATGGAGGGAACTGGAGTCGTCTGAAGTCACCGAGCAGCCAGCAGGTCAGTGATGGGCAGTGGAGGACCCAGGTCCCCAGACCTGGCCGTGCTGTTGGCTCTGTCCACCCCACCCTTCATCCCCCCCAGAGCCAATGCCTCTGTGCTGCTGCCTCGGAAGAGCTTCTGCAACCTTGCGACATTCTGCACGGTGAGTGCTGCTACCCCATTTTACAGAGGGAAGAACTTGGGCTTGGGGAGGTGACTTGTCTGAGGCCACACGCCCGCACCGCCCTGCTGGGCTGCATCCCAGACTGTGACTCTCCTGGGGACCCGCCTGAGCGTTCCTGGCACGCGCCCCTCTCACCCGTCCAGAGGAGACCATTCCGCCTTTACAAGTCCTGATTTATATACTCACAGGGGCCATCAGCCCTGCCAGGGATTTATAGGTTTCTAAGTGGTCATGTCTCTGGGGGAAACACAGACGTGAACCGGGAAGGAGCCGCCAGGCCGTCAGCCCGAGGCTGCAGGGCCAACACCTCCATGTATCCCCAGGGCCCCTTGGGTGCCACAGGCTTCCAGAAGGTCCTTCAGGAGGCCAAGGAGGAGCCACGCTTCCCGGCAGCCCACGTGTCAGGCTGCACCACCGAGTGGACACGTCCTATCTGGGCAGGAGGGCAGGGGCTGCCTGAGCTCCCAGGGGCTGGCCTTGGGTCTGGTCTCTTGTTTTTAGGGCAGGACAAAGAGCCCAGGCAGCTGGGCTCAGCATAATTTGGAGGGAGCCAAGGGTGCGGAGGGTGAGGAAACAGGCCTCACGGCAAGTTGAAAACGCTGACACGAGTGTGAGTCCATCGGGATGCTCTGGGCTTGCTTACATTCTCCATGGTACTTCTGTGTGTGTTTGAAATTTTCCAGGAAAGAATTTAAGCAGCCCCAGCATGGCCAGGCTGGGATTCTCTCACTTGCCTGGCAGCTGGATCAGGCTTAAGAGCTCAACCTGGCTCTTCTGGGCTGGAGCCCCCGTGGGAGAAGGTCTGGGGTCACTATCTTGTCACAGCAGAGATCACATTGGTGGCCCTGCATCCTCAGTGCCCAGAATAAGGCCTGGCACCGGGTAGGGGTTTAATAAATGCTTCTTTGAGCTAATTTGCCAGTGACAAGTAAGGGTATGTGCAGAGCAAGGCCCGGGACAGGAAGAGGTCTGGCTGAAGGTGCTGGGGACACAGCGGACTCAGGGGGGCCTTGGCCCAACCCCAAAGATCTGTAGGGTGCTCTGGAGAGAGGGAGCCAGCTGTGCTGGAGACCCCAAGCAGACTGGGACCCCAGGGGGAGGGCTGAGGGCAATTTCAGATTTATAAACAGTAAATCCCTCTAAAGTAAAACGGATTATTTGGGGATGAAAGTGAGGGCCCTATCCC